GGCTCGCCCCCGGCTCGCACATGGCGACCCAGATGGGATCGGGAGAGAACTCGCAGATGGCAACCCAGGCGGGATCGGGAGAGGGCCCGCACCCAGCTGATCAGTGTTCCCAGGCTCCAGAGTACATGAGAATCTAAATTGTCTAAGAGTGAGGGAACGTGCTGGAGGCTGTGCCACACGTTCAATTAAAGGCATGATAGGAACCAGTGACAAAGTTATAATAGAAATATGTGTAATAACTTTGTCCCTTATTCCTGGTTTTTATCACATCATTAATAGAACAAGTGCGTGGCCAGGTCACTACTTAAGACATGATTAACCAGTTAATCATATCTTAAGTGTAATGTGTGTCGGGGCCTTAAACATAAGCCACAATAAGCAGAGCCAAAGAGAAAAATGATTCTATTTGGTGGAAGATTTTGGTATTTTGAAACTCAACGTTTCAAAATTCTCCACAAGGGAGAAAGGTACCCAAGCTCTGGAGCAGTCTGGAGTTGTGGACGTCAGAAGCCCTGGCTACCCAGACAAATAAGCTAGAAGCAAACCAAACTTAGTTTCAGTTTTGGGAACATTAAAACTTAAATTAATCCTTTGAGACTACATCTGTTCACTACACCTCTTCATGCTTCAGAGGCTCGTTTTAACTCTTCATTGCAGGCTTGTTAAATCCTTCCCAGGAAATCTCTCATTAGATTCACTTTACGTTATATATAAGCAGTTCATCACTAAAGCCTCCATCTCCTGACACCACCATTCATGCCAAGAGTAAATTTCATTGACCACCTATTTGTATTGCACAGAGTGGCTTCCTGTGCTTACAACACAGTTTCAGGTTATCTGCATATGTGCGCTGAACAGAAAAGATCACTACTTATATTCTTTTACAAGAAACAAAGAAAAGACTTAAAATGTGTGACATGAGCTGTATGCAATAAACATGCACACAAGCAAAGTTTTCCACCACTGTACCTTAAATATAGGCTGTAGTGATATGAAAACCACATAAAATACTATCATACTAAAGCTTGTAAATAAAGCAGCCACTGCTAAGAAATAGTGCAAAACTGCCATTCTGCAGCACAGTTTCACTTACTGGTGTTCTTGTTCCAAGCCTAGCAGATTCTTTTTGTAAAAATACAAACTCCCAGTTCCTTTTCTGTTATCTATAATTTATGCATATTTGTTTCAAATACCTCCCAAATTTTACCCCAACACTGCAGCTCAAATGAGTTTGTGATCTGCAAAGATATTTTTAATAGAATATATATTCTATTTGCTCTTTTTTTTTGATGCTTGAAGGCAACCTAAAAAGAATTCCTCAAGCTGGCTTTTATTTTCTTCTGCTTTTTTTTTAAATTTAGGAATAACAGGAATATCAAATCTGTTCTGGGTGCATAGGCAGATTTTTCCTGTGTTCATGAGCTCTCATACTTCAACTGTTCACAAGCTCCCCTTTTGGTTAATCTCCAAGACAGTCAAGGTAGGTTTATGATGCAAGACAGGACCAGGCCAAGATACCAGGGAAACTGTTCATATGCTACCCTGCCTCCTGAACCCAAGCTTTTGTTCCTGGCTTGGGAGCTAGCTCTATTACGTCTGATAATTTGGCTGATAAATGGTCTGGCCATGCATGTAGCCACAGTGCAGCACGCAGGTGGCGAGGAGCACAGCCGGGCAGCTTGAAGAGCTGTGTGCAGCTGCTAAGTCTGGTGTGGTAGAAGGCGAAAGGGGAGGAGGGAAGAGAAAGGCTATGGGAAGGGGGGCAGATCAAGGCCCCCACGTTGAGGGAAGAGTGGAGCTGGGGCTGAGGCAAGTGTTCCCCAGCTAGGACAGAATGGGCATGGGATGGAGCCACGGCTCATCTTGGGGGCACAGGGAGGTGGGGCAGCTCTCGCCGCTGTGCGCCACTCTTCTTGGGTCTTGTGGGAGTTGCTGGTCCAGTGGCTCAACTGGAGCTCACACACTCATCTGGCGTCTCCTGCTGCCACTCCCAGCCCTCATCCAGGAGGGCATATGGGGGGCAGGGGACGGAAGGTGTGTGCCCCTGGATCTGCGCAGGGCCAGGGTTGCACCAAGCTCTTCCTGGTGGGACGGGGCTGGGGGAAGGCAGTGGCAGCGATGGGACAAGGGGGAGGGGAGGCTGCAGCCACCCCAAAATTCACTGTAGCCCCTTCTTCTCCCCTCTCCTAGTGCCACCCAGCCCGAGCCCAACCCCACCAGGAAGAGGTTAGTGCAGCCCCATCCCTGTGCCGATCGGGGTCACCCCCCACCCCATGCCCTCCCAGTCGAGTGGCAGGAGCAGCAGTGTGCCGTCAGATGAGCAGGCAAGTGCCGGACAAGCCACCGAACCAGTGGCTCCTGCATGATTGACATACAGCCCTCCCCAAGCCCCCTGGATGAGCCGCAGCTCCATCCTGAGCCCACCACACCCCAGCTGGGCAATGCTTGCCCCAGCCCCTGCTCCAGCCCCAGCTCCATTCCTCCCTCACTGCGGGGGCCTTGATCTGCACCCCCCACCCCTCTTCCCTTTCCCCTCCACACTGGACTTACCAGCTGTAAGCAGCCTGGCAGCTTGGAATGCTGCAATCAGAAATCAAATCGGTATCAGCCAATGTGCCTCCTTAAAAATCGGCTATCGGTATTGGCCCCAAAAGTCTCTATCAGTGCACCCCTATTTAATTCATTTTTTAAAACTAGCATTCCCTTCCTGTGAGCTACTCAACTTCCAGCAATTTCACTCAGGTCATAAATATGCTAGGTTTTCCATTCTCTGAATTTCTAGCACATAAAAGTAACTTTCTTAATGCATCAAAGCAGTCAAATGTTGTTTTCCTTTGCAACCACCATCCAACTATCCTTTGTGGCCACTTGGAAAGTTTACTACATATATTTTCTTTAAAGAAATTGAGTGAATTTATTGTATAAAATTATGATTGGCATGATACAGAAAAAGTTCTTCTTAGTGCATATTTCCCCATTAACCTGTACACAAGTATTACAAGTATCAACCAAAATGCAAAAAATTGTAAGAACTAATTCCATACTACAAAAAGTGTTCACATAGTGAAGTTACTCTGGTTACAAAATGTTATGGAAATAAAAAGCACTTCAAAATACATATTTGGGAAATGTGTCTGAACAATCAATACTAGTTTTAGTTAGTTAAACAAACAAAGACATCCCCACCCCCCACCCCTCCCCAAATACATCTTTGTTGGTTCAGCCAAAAAAGAGCAAAGTTCACATCAGTTCTTTTACTGGGATTATTCACTGAAAAAAAAGTTTAGTTAGTAAAGGGATCAACCATCATCTGATGACAAACACCACCAAAAAGTAACCCAGTTCTCTCCGTTTTCATACCAAAAAGGAACGCAATTGTTGGAGGCTGAGATGTGCAAACACACACCTCCACGTACATGCTGATTGTCTCTTTAAAAGATATTCTGAACTTCACTATTTCATTTTGCTAGTTCCGCTCCTGAGGTCACAAGACCCAAGAAGAGGGGTCTAACAAAGGATGCTTACATATTTAAAGATAGTAATTTGACTTGCAATTGCTGGAAAATGGAGAAGGGTTTCAAGTCATATAAATATGATACATCCTCACTATAAGACTGTTAAAAAGCTATCAAATCTTTGCTTCCTGACTACTTCGAAGGTTCTTGATTTCTACAGCTAGCACAGGCAAAAAAGCATGGATCCTAAGAACAGCCTTACAAAAAGGAGTCACTGTCGTAACCAATTAGATTCTAACACAAAAATCTTTAAAAGATGATAAACGTTTTTTGCAGTCCAGAACAAAATAATTACAAATATATTTTTGAAATGAACTAAAACTATTTTTGTGTCAGTTACCATGTAGCTGATTGAGACAGTTGAGGAGTGTTTATATGCATATCTACAGTATGAAACTCACACATACAAATATGCATACAGCAAAAAAGCAATGTACCTACACACACAAGCATTATCAGGTTATCCAGTCCATCTAACACACTGAGGAACAATCCACAGCACTCATAAAAGGACTACTGTCCAATAATTCGAGTACAGTTTTTAGAGTTCCCCTAAGTCCCACAAACAGTGTTGTCCTCTTCCATTAATTTGAGTTTTTTCTTCAAATTTCATTTTTCCTGGCAGTTAAATACACACTAGTTTAAACCTTAAAATGTGAAACTTGAAGGAAAACCAAAAAACATATCAACTGGATTTAGGTTAATTTTTAAAGCTGTTTAAAAAGGAAAAAAAGAAAGGATCTTCACAGCTATAAAAAAAATAAAAATAAAGGCCACCTTAGTGTAAGACCCATACTGCTCATTTCCCAACACTTGTTTAAGTGAGAGATTTGACTTTCAGTTGAGTGCCTTATTATGTGAATCATGGAACGTGAACACATAATCCATTCCTAAAATAAATCTTTAAAAAATATTCATAAATAGGATTGCCATGGAACAGCCCTTTTTGTTGCAAATCTGTAAGGGTTGGTAAGCCAATACAACAGTTAATTCTCCCTCAAGTAGTGCTATTCACCACAATCTATTACATCTTCTATAGTTTCCCTTTTACTTTGCATATTATACGTGTAACTTTAACATGTTATTTAAGAGCACTTCAGTCCCACAATGTAGGATTTAAGCTTGTGTGAATATGTACGAATGGCTCTGCAACATTTCAATGATTTACAAAAATACATTCAACCAAAAATTTATATAGGGTCCTCTTTTTTAAACTAAAAAAATGGAAGGGAAGCCAAATGGTCCCATAATTAGCAAAATAATACACTATATCATTTCTGGAAATATTTCCAAAGCAAAGCACATTCAAGAGTATTGTATACCGAACTGCATACTTCTTCCTCATTCATCTTTATCAGTAATCAAGTTCTACTGTATATAATTATTCAGCCTTATAAATAGTGCTAAACAGAAAAAATATTTACCTCTGGTTATTTGTCTCAGTTTATAGGAGCAAAACACAAAACAAAACCTAAAGTGCAGCCTATAGGCCATGACAAAAGGTGCAGCCAAATTTGCATTTACATTTTAAGTTACTTAATCTCTTGTTCCTTGCTCAGAATCACCCCCTTGTGCAATTTAAGATCTGGTCAGTTGAGCTGTGCCACAGTACAATCTGTAACCATTTAGAAATTTTTTTAATCTACTTTTTGTCCATAGACATTTCTAGGCAATAGCTTAGGTTCACAAAACCTTACTTTATTAATACTTTAAATCACACAATATTGACCCCATTCCCAGAAAATGCTACTGTCCTCTTGTTGCAGAACATTGTGGAACCACTGATGTTTGGCTGACTGTCTTTAACAAGAGAGGTCTTCATCTCCATCTCACAGGCTACAATTGCTGCATTCAATTCCACTTGAGCTCGGTGAACAACATAAAACATGAGGCCTATGCTTATAACAATCTGTGAACAAAGACAAAAAATTTTTCAGTTGAACAGTATATTAAAT